CCCTTCCCACTCCATTAACCTGCTTTCCAGCTCCGTTCTCCTGTGCAGGGCAACCAAAGAAGACCCAGCCGATCAGCTGGGACACAATGGGAGGCAGAGAAGAGATGGGGGCGGGGCCAGTCAGAGGTGGGATTTGCTGGTTCTCCAAACTACTCCAAATTTCCCCTACTGGTTCTCCAGAACTGGTCAGAACTGGCTGAAGACCACCTCTGCTTCATAGGAGGCATTTAAGCAGAAGCTGGAGAATGATTTGTCAATACACATTCATCCTGTGTTGCAGATATTTTATGAAATGGGTTTTTTAAAGCAGGTTGTCAGTAATCAACAATCAATGGAACAGAAGTCACCTTCGGAAGTTGTGGGAGCTTCATCCCTGGAAGCTTTCAAGAAGAGACTGGACTGTCATCTGTCAGAAATGAGGTAGGGTCCCCTGCTTGGGTGGGGAGGTTGGACTAGATGACCTACAAAGTCCCTTCCAACTCTGTTAATCTGTAACATGATTAATTCTTCCTGGCTCTTTTGATTCACTGAAATTCTTTTAAAGATAAGCCTTGGCTAATCTCTTCTGCCATTTCCTCCAAGAGAATATATGGTCATTAGAAAGCATTCTGAAACCACATGGAGTTACATTTGGTAACAGGGAGAAATACAGGAGAAATGGCAAATTCTTGATTGGTAAAAGCGCCTTTGGGGAGAGTTGATTCAAGTTTCCCATAGATTTAGCCAGATTAACAGAATTGGAAGGGACCTTGTAAGTCATCTCATCCAACCCTCCACCCAAACAGGAGACCCTACACCATTTCTGACAAATGGCAGTCCAATCTCTTCTTGAAAGCCTCCAGTGATGAAGCTATGGTTAAGTTTACTATATATCACTTTACCAAAAAAGAAAAAAGAAATAGATTGTACATGAAACACTTTCCACAATGAACAGTGGGGAAAAAAAAACTTGGCAATTTCAAATTACAGTGACTCAGTCCAAAGTTAAGACAAGGTGACGGATCCATTGCCAACCTCCCTAAGCAATAATGCCTACCAAAAGTGTCACTATTACAATTGCAGATTGAAAAGTGGGATAATGCGATTTGTTTAATTTGAGGCTCAGTTTAATATTGGGTCAAACCATTGCATTGTACTTTGTAAATTACAAGTGTGATCTGATATTGTTCCATAGTTGAAGGTTTGTTTGCTTTTAACAAGGATTTTAGGAGTTCTCCTGAATTGCTTTTCATTGTCTCAATCTTCCTGTTAATTGTTCATTTGTAGCCAAAAATGGAATGTTTATGTGTTGAAGCTAATTAAGATTATTAGCTTCAACACGTAAACGTTCCACTGTTATATTATAATCTTAATTGGTCTGATAATTTTCCCGCTTTGTGAATATCTCTAGGGGAAAATAACACAGTTCCTACTGAAGCAACGTTAGATGTGTCTTTCTTATATGTATTTGTAACTATGTATTCATAACTATGTTTTTACTTATACCTATTATCTTGTAAGCAATTGACAAACCAAATAAAATTAAATTAAAAAAAAATTATTGTTGGAGGGTTAGCCTCCATGAGATCAGCTGTGAATCTCATTTCTAAGACAAGAATTGTGTAGTAGTTTCAAATTAACATAGGATAAAAGTTTACAGACCAAATAAATGCCTCTGTCCTCTTCGTGGAAGGATCTTCAGTAAAAGGAGAATGCTCTGTACAATCTAAAAAGAAACCAAAATATTAGAGCAGTGTTGACGGGCATGCTCCAGGGTGGCCTCCAGTGTTGGGATTCAATTTTTTTTACTACCTGTGGTGTGGGCGTGGCTTGGTGGGCGTGGCAGGGGAAGGATACTGTAAAATCCCCTTTCCCACCCCACCCCACTAACCTGCTTTCCAGCTCCGTTCTTCTGTGCAGGGCAACAAAGGAAGACCCAGCCAATCAGCTGGGACTCGGGAGGCAGAGAATAGACGGGGGCAGGGCCAGTCAGAGGTGGGATTTGCCAGTAGTCCAAACTACTCAAACCTTCCACTGCTGGTTCTCCAGAACTGGTCAGAACTGGCTGAATACCATCTCTGGTGGCCTCCCTGTTTAGCACCTGAAGGCAGGACAAGAAGCAACATATGGAAACTCATCAAGGAGAGAAGCAACTTGGAACTAAGGAGAAATTTCATGACAGCGAGAACAATTAATCAGTGGAACAACTTGCCTCCAGAAGTCGTAAATGCTCCAACACTGGAGGTTTTTAAGAAGATGCTGGATAACCATTTGTCTGAAGTGGTGTAGGGTTTCCTGCTTCCGCTTGTGCAGGGGTTTGGGCTAGAACAGGGGTATCAAACTGGATTTCTTTGAGGGCTGGATCGTCATTGCAGTTCTCCTCTGCAGGCCAGTGGTTGGAGGGCAGAACAGATGCCTCCTGAAGCACCCTGCCAGCCAAAGCGGGGCACAAGGAGTCCACACACAGCCCCCTTGCGCCTTGTATTTGTCCTCCATGGCCTCCTGCAGCAATCTGCTAGCCGAAAACGGGCGGCGTGGCCCATTTTGGGGGCGGTTTTTTTTTTACCATTTTAGCCCATTTTTCAGCCTGTTTTGGGCCCATTTTCCAGCCCATTTTCAGACCACTCTAAATCTAAACAGTCCAACCAAAGAAGCTCTAAGACCTTCCCCACCAACACTGACAGGCAAGCCGCCAGAATGTAAAACTGACAGCAAATTGTACTCCTTACTAGCACTGATAATGTTACCTAGTTGGATAATGAAACATCTGCAAGAAAACAGGCAAGCTCAGAGAGCGCCGTTTCATCCCTGAACTGCAAATATTCTTTATTGAGACTTAGCATCGCTTATCCCATCACTTTTCTGTCAAATCCTAGGGAACTGCCCACCCAAATATACAAAACATAGCTCACAGTTATGGTGAATTACAAGCTTTTGAATTAATCTTCTCTAGTAATATACAAAAGAAATTGAGGAGGAATTCTCAAACCTCTCTCAGAAAACTAGAAAGAGAACCTCTTTTGCAGGTGGCAGAGAAGTCGCAAAATAGATATCAATCTGATATTAAGGCTTTTATCCCTTTTCTTAAGTCAGAGACTGCGGTCCAACATCGGACTGAGTCATAAATCACTAGCTGTAGCAACTAATGTGGCAGATCTGAACAGAACAGTCCATATGTTGGATTAATAAAATGTTTGACTCTTCTCATGTCAGTATCCACAAAAAGTATTTTTAAAAGCAAATTTTGCTTCAAGAAAATTAGTCAATTCCATAAATCCCTTGTTAGAATCTCCAAGACTGAGATTGCTATGACTGCATTCCCACTCACGTTAGTAATACTATTGCTAAATTTGGAGATGATGAAACAGTGGTGGGACTCATCTCTGGAGGAGGGTGAGTCTGCCTACGGAGATGAGGTGGACCGGTTGCTTTCATGGTATGGAGACAATAAGTTGGTCCTCAACACCAATAAGACCAAGGAGCTTATAGTGGACTATAGAAGAACAGATCAGACATCCAGCCCTTGCTTATCAATGGAGACCGAGTGGAGCAAGTGGCCAGTTATAAGTTTCTGGGTGTTACCCTAAAGGAGGACCTGACCTGAGGTGCTCACATTGCAGCCCTGGTCAAAAGGGCCCAGCAGAGATTATACTACCCGAGGCTTCTCAGAAAGCAACAATGGAATGAAGAACTGCTGGTGACCTTCTACCGCTGCACCATAGAGTGTATCTTAACTTACTGCACACCTGTATGGTTTGCCAATTGCACAGTGGCAGATAGGACAGCACTCCAGAGGGTTAACGTCACTGCCCAGAGGATCATGGATTGCCCTCTCCCCTCTCTGGAAGAGCTTTATAGCTCCTCCTGCCTTAAGAAAGTTCAAAACGTTCTCAAAGATTCATCTCATCCTGGGCACCTTTTTTTTTTAACTATTAGCATCTGGCAGCTGGTACAGGATAATAAAAACAAGGACAAAGAGGCTGAAAAACAGCTTTTATCCCAGGGCAGTAGCTTTTTGAATTCTGCTGTATAATTCAGTGTTGGTGTGGTGTCAGGAGTTTTCAGTTCAATGTGTGGAGTGTGAAGGATGTGTGTTTGTGTTTATTTTCATAGTCATGATGTGCACTGAAGATGGTGTTTGATTTCGTTGTATGAGGTGCAATGACAATAAACTAAACTAAACTATACAGATGGTTCTCAACTCACAGCCATTCATTTAGACACCATTGGAATTTTCAATGGCACTGAAAAAAGTGACTTAGAAGCATTTTTTCACACGTACGTCCATCGCAACATCTGCGTAGTCATGGGATCAGAATTCAGGTGCTTGGCAACTGGCATGTATTTATGACTGTTTCACTGTCCTAGGGTCATGTGATCATCATTCGTGAACTTCTCAGTTGGCTTTCAATGAACAAAGTTAATGGGGGAAGCCAGATTCATTTAACAGCCACATGATTCGTTTAACAGCTGTGGCAAAAAAAGGTTGTAAAATGGAGCAAAACTTGCTTAACAACTGCCTTGCCCAGCAACAGAAATTTTGAGCTCAATTGTGCTCATAAGACGAGGACCTACCTATATATTTAAAATGCATTAGGTATTTTTGTGGCTTGGAACTGATGCAAAATGAAAGCTCGGTCAACTTAATAGAAATAGAAATAGAACAGAATTCTTTATTGGCCAAGTGTGATTGGACACACAAGGAATTTGTCTTGGTGCATATGGTGCATATTCATCAAGAATCATAAGGTACAACACCTAGTGATAGTCATAGTGTATAATAAGCTATCAAACAACACTAGGAAGCAGTCAATATAAATCGTAAGGATACAAGCAACAGAGTTACAGTCATACAGTCACAAGTGGGAGGGGATGGGTGATAAGGAGTGATGAGAAGATGAATAGTAATAGTAGTGCAGACTTTGTAAATTGTTGGACAGTGTTTTCCTTCCTTCCTTCCTTCCTTCCTCCCTCCCTCCTTCCCTCTTTTTTAATGTCTCCAATTTCTCTTTTGCTTTCAGAACTATGGCTTGGAGACTGAAAATCTGAGAACGCTTTCCCACAAGCTGAACGCATCTGCCAAAAATCTTCAAAACTTCATCACGGGTAGAAGAAGGAGCGGTCATTATGACGGACGGGCCTCCCGAAGACTGCCAAATGATTTCCTTACCTCCGTCGTGGACTTGATTGGTGCTGCCAAAAATTTGCTTGCCTGGTTAGACAGGTAATTGAGTTTGAATACTGTTTTTTTTTTAAAGGAGCAAATATGTTAGTTCTCATTCTCTCCTCCTGTCTTCAGCATTCCATTTCCCTTTGGCAATTTTGTTTGTGGCTGGTGGTTTTTTTTTATTTATTTTTTTAGTATTTGGATGCTAGAAAGGCCTGCCCTTTTGAAGTTGGGAGCTAGATTTGAAATCTTGTACTTTCCTTTCATAAATGTTTACAAAGAACATAAAAAGAAACACAAAGTGATAAGAGTAAAGGCAGTGAATAAGGGAAGAAGAAAGAAAAAAAATGGAAATACAGAAAAATAAAAAGACATAGGCAGGATGAACTTCCAATTTCCTTTGCAGGAAAACCAGGAGACTGGGAGTTTTAGTCCCGTTTTAAGCATGAATGCCAGCTGGGTAACTTTAAGCCTGCTCCCCCCCACTCTCTCTTTCTCTTTTTCTTTCTCTCTCTTCTTTCTCTTTTCTTTCTCTCCCCAACTCACTGGTTATCTGGGGTAGTTATTATGGGAGGAAAAATAGGAGGAGGAAGGAGTATTAGTGAAGTTCGCCATCTTGAGTTACTTATAAAGTGATAAAGAAGGATAAAATCTAATAAATAAGTATAATTACAAAATTACCTCTTAATCTATGATTACAAAAGAAAGCCCTATTTACTATTATCTGGGGTATTTTTTTTTCCTAATCATCAAAAGCACAGAACCTAAATTCATCTGTGCCGTTTTATGCAAAAAGCCTCTATAGGGCTTCCAGTCAACCATAAATGTAGATAACTGTTTTTTCTCCAAATCAAAGAAGCTAATTTAGCCATCTCTGCAAGTTCCATTATCATCTTCATCAGCCATTCTTCCACATATAACAGACTTCATACATAATTATATGTATAAAAACAGAAGGACGAGGGGTGACATGATGGCAGCGTTCCAATAAATAAATGGCTGCCACAAAGAAGAGTGAGAGTCAGTCAAGCTTTTCTCCAAAGCACCAGAAGGCAGGAGAAGAAGCAAAGGGTGAAAACGAATCCAGGAGAGAAGCAACCTAGAACTAAGGAGAAATCTTTTTACAGTTAGAACAATTAATCAGTGGAATGCTTTCAGAAGTTGTAGGTGGTCCATCCATCACTGGAGAATTTTAAGGAGGGACATGACAGCCAAGGGTACGGGGTCTCCTGCTAAAGCAGGGGGTTGGACTAGAAGACCTCCAAAGTCTCTTTCAACTCTGTTATTATATTATTCCCAACCATGACAGTTTCCAACTATGTGGAGCCAGCCAGGCTATCCATTGCTTAACTTTCTGGGACTTGAAGTTCACGTTTTTGGAAACTACCAAGATTGGGAACACAGTTCCTTACTCTAATACTATGGAGCCTGCTGACAATTCTCCAGGGTTTGAAGTTGGAATTGTTCCAACCTTAACTGGAAATGGTATGGATTGAACTTGACATCTTTTGTATGCATAACTCTCTCTGAAAAATGGTGATGATTTACTGGATTTATAAGCCTTTCCAATCACAGTCCCAACCCTATGCAGCAGTTGTATAATTAGAAGTGGATAGCTAATGCTGAAATGAATATGCTTACACTGATATTGAAAGAAAAAGAAGACTCTTGAATATTTCTTAATTTGGTACAAATGGTATGGTTGGGTAACAAACAGGAATAAGAAATAAAATAGGAAAACTAATTTGTAAGAGGCTGCAAGAAAATGAATGATAAATATGTAGAATATTTAAGAATATAAGAATAACAATTATGGATAAAGATATTAATTAATGTTAGATAAATGTAAACACAATGTATTAAGATATATAAGGTAAGAATTTGTATAGATGTCAAAAATGCTGTTGAAATTATGATGTTTTGAGTTGTCATAATGGAACTACAATAAAACATAATAAAAAAAGAAGTGGATAGCTATTTATAAGTCAGAATCTAAATTGCTAATAGCTCATTAGGACAGCCAGTTTGGGGAGGGGGTGTTAAGGGGTCAGGCTAGCAACCAGGAGACGGTGGCTTAGGTAGAAAGCTGGCTGGAACAGTTGTCTCAGCCCTAAGGAGGAGGAAGCAAGACAAACAAGAAATAATGGTTGGAAATAATCAAAGAGAGAAGCAACTTGGAATTAAGGAGAAACTTCCTAACAGTGAGGACAATTAACCAGTGGAACAGAAGTTGCCTTCAGACGTTGTGGGAGCTCCATCACTGGAGGTCTTCAAGAAGAGATTGGACAGCCATTTATACAGAAAAGTACAGGATCTCATGCTTGAGTAGGGGATTGGACTAGACCCCCCAAAGACCTCCAAGATCTCTTCAACTTTGTTCCACTGTTTACTTAAATTATTACTTCAGGATTTTGAGGAAGAGCATCAAAGTGTGGGCCATTATCCAATGCATCACATCTTCCATCTGGATAAACAATGCAGTAACTAACTAGATTTGATTAAGCCACAGAATGCAAAAGAAGATAAGCAATGGCCATTGAAGAAAACAGAGGTGCTTTTTCTGAAAAACACCCGGAAGAGGGAGATTTTTACTCCTTCCCTCTGTGGCATTGCTGAAATAAAAATTAACGTGCCTGTATATTTTTTTAGCACCATCCAGTTAGAAACCGCAAATCCAGACAAACCTGAAGTGGTCAGATTTATGGGCTACTCAGAAGCAACTGAGAGGTATCTTATCTACTCTTCAGCAGGGCTGATAAGCTGCCATTGATCACGGAAAGTGAACTGCCATTTGTTAAATTGAAGTGGGGGGAATAACAGTTTTTCTTGGTAAGCAGGTTGTTCCCTATCTGTTCCCTCCAAAAATGCTTTACCCATGTTAGAGACTTGAGTCATTTTAAGGATTGATCCAGCCGAGAGCTCTGCATTAGGATTTAAGGATTTTTCTTGGAATCAAACTGAAGTTTTCTGCATGCTTTACATGTTATCATTACCAGGTGAGCTGAAATCCTAAGAGTGAAGGATTGTAACTGAATTCATTGAACTAGGTTAATTCAGTTAATTAATTAGATTAACTGAATTGTAGACAAGCTGGAAAGCATAATGCCGGCAGTCCAGCGTAGGCAGTGGTGGGATTCAATTTTTTTTTTTTACTATCGGTTCTGTGGGCATGGCTTGGTGGGCATGGCAGGGGAAGGATACTGTAAAATTTCCAGTCAGAGGTGGTATTTGCTGGTTCTCCGAACTACTCAAAATTTCCACTACCGGTTCTCCTGAACTGGTCAGAACCTGATGAATACCACCTCTGAACCTAGGTAAGGCAGAATCCTCACCACCCAGTTTACATATCCTTCCTCTGGAAAGCAGAACAATTATCATAATAATGGATACTGTTTGGAAAATGGCACACCTTGGTGATTTAAAGGGAGAAAATCAAAACAATGTTCATAAGTCCATAGTTCTGATATTTCACTGGAGTTGAAATAACTGACCAAACAGCAGGTTCCAGGAAGAGAAGTTAACATAGGAAGATCCCATCTGGTGCAATGGTTAAAGTGCTGGTCTAGAAACCAGGAGACTGTGAGTTCTAGTCCTGCCTTGGACATGAAAGCCAGCTGGGTGACTTTGAGCCAATCACTAGGGCAGGAGTCTTCAAACTTGACAGCTTTAAGACTTGTGGACTTCAATTCCCAGAATTCCTCCCCCAGTCATGTTAGCTCACGAATTCTGGGAGTTGAAGTTTACAAGTCTTAAACTGGCCAAGCTTGAAGATCCTTGCACTAGAGGAATGTAAATTCTAATCCTGCCCTGGACTTGAAAGCTGGCTGAGAGACATTGAGCCAATCATTCTTTCAATCCACCCACATCCCAGGGTTGTTGTAGGGAAAATAGAAGGTAAGCGTATTGTGTGTGAGGGGGTGATAGTTCAGTGGTTAAAGACACTGAGCTTGTCAGCTGAAAACCCAGGTTCAAGACCATAGGCAGGGGTGAGCTCCCATCCTTGCTCTGGTTACTGAAAGGATGTGAATGCAAGTAGATATGTAAATAGGTACCACTTTTGTGGGAAGGTAACAGCATCCTGTAGCCATGCCAGCCAAATGACTATGGAAGAGTCTTCAAACAATAGCAATAGTACTTACACTTATTTGCCACTTCACAGTGCTTTACAGCTCTCTCTAAGTGGTTTACAGAGTCATCGTATTGCCCCCAACAATTTTGGGTACTCATTTGACCCACCTTGGAAGGATGGAAGGTTGAGTCAAGCTTGAGCTTGGTGGGATTCGAACCGCCAAATTGCAGGCAGCCAGCAGTCAGCAGAAGTAGCTTGCAGTACTGCACTCTAACCACTGTACCACCGTGGCTCTTCAATGCTGGCTCTCTCAGCTAAGAAACAGAGAAGACCACCACACCCTAGATTTGGATGCAGCTGGACAGGGGAAAACTTTACCTTTTTAAGAGTATTAAGTATGTTGGCTTCCTTGCGTTACTTATAAAGTCACTAGCTGGATACCCATGCTTCGCTACGAAACTATGTGATCGGGCTTAGTTTTGGGGAGGAAAATCAGGAGGGAAAATCTGCCTCTGCCTACCAGCATCCATCAGTATTCATCTGGTTAGTGTCCTGTCAGTGAGTGAGAGAGTTGAGGGCTGTTTGGAAACTGGAACAGTATTTGCTATGTGAGCAAGGAGACAGCAAGGAGCCTGGGTGTGGCTTAGCTCAACTGTTCTGTACTAAAGCTGCTTGGTGCTGTGAAACTAAAACTGAAACTGAAACTCCTCTCCTCTGCTTGTGTTTTACATTTGGAAGAGTTTTCTTTTCAGGTGGGGAGTGGATGTGGAACTCCTTAGCATCAGAACATGTTAATAATAATAATAATATACAAAATACTAATGATCTGATGGTCATTTTGAAAAATCCTTTCTTAGTGAGCACCTAGAAGCCAAGAGGAGCATATGTGCCAAATTTCAAGTTTGTAGCCTTTACAGTTCTGGAGAGTTTGTTATTATGCGTGAGTGGCATTTCACTTTTATATATTGATAAGATAAGATATGATATAAGATAAGAAGAAAAGGTGGGATAAAAACCAACCAATAAAAGAACAGATCTATCCACTCAGTCCCTCCCTCACACTCCTGGAGCAGGAGCAGAAGGCTTCGTATTGTAACATAGGTTGTGCTATAAAGATTTGCAACTGAACCCACAGAATTTGACTTGAATCTGATCCAGCTGATTTTCATCTGGGGTTCAGGCTTACTCTCTGTGCAATATTGTAGAAGGCCAAGGTGAAACTGCTTAAGGGGTTTGTCTAACCGATTTCTTGATGATATGTTGACGTATTTCTATTGACACTCCACCAAGTAGAACAAATCTGTGTTTTCAAGGTTCATTCCTCACCATTTGTTGACTAGGACAAATTGTTAATAAAGCTTGTCTTATTACAGGAATTATCAGTGATAAATGAACTCAGATGTTAAAATTCTCTCTTTTCCGTAGGTCTCCATTTGTCAGCGTGACAGAATACTCACTGCTGAAAAATAATATTGTTCAGCTCTGCTTAGAACTCACTACCGTTGTTCAACAGGTAAGGTTGTTCAACAGGTAAGCCTTCCATCCTTCCGAGGTCGATAAAATGACAGCCCAGATTGTTGCGGGCGATAGGCTGACTCTGTAAACCGCTTAGAGAGGGCTGTGAAGTGCCGTGAAGCGGCATACAAGTCTAAGTGCTGTTGCTATTGCTATTTAGTTATACAGATAATCTTCAACTTACAACCATTGGTTTAGCAACCACTTGAAGGTACAACAATCCTGAACGAAGGGGTTTATAACCAGTCCAAACACATACAACCACTGCAATATTCCCAGGGTCACATGATCAGAGCTCAGGCTCTTGGCAAATGGCATGTATTGATGATGGTTGAAGAGTTCTGGGATCACATGATCACCAAATGCAATCACCCCAGTCAGCTTCCAATCAATGAGAGCAGCTGGATTCATTTAATAATGCACGATTCACTTAACTGCAGTGATTTGCTTAATTTCTGAGCTGTGGTGGCGCAGTGGTTAGAATGCAGAACTGCAGGCTACTTCTGCTGACTGCCGTCTGCCAGCAGTTCAATTCTGACCAGCTCAAGGTTGACTCAGCCTTCCATCCTCTGAGATCGGTAAAATGACAGACCAGATTGTTGGGGCAAGATACTGATTCTGTAAACTGCTTAGCATTGTGAAGCGGCATTTAAGTCTTAAGTGCTATCACTAGTGCTATTAGAAGCTCTGGCGGCGCAGTGATTAAAATGCAGGGTTGCAGGCTCACTTTGCCCACAGCCTGGAGTTCAATCCTACTTCTGCTGACTGGCAGCTGCCAGCAGTTCAATTCTGACTGGCTCAAAGCTGACTCAGTCTTCCATCCTTACAAGCAGGGGTGGGATTCTACGAGCTCGCACCTATTTGCTAGAACCGGTTGTTAACATTCTAAGCAGTTCTGAGAACCGGTTGTTAGAAGAAATTACTGGCCTAATCCTGTAAGGAAGGCAGGAAGGAAACATTCTGGTGTTGCTTACAGAAACTGGCTCTCCGTTAACCCTTTTTACATTCGTGGCAAGACTAGACATCCTATCTCAGGAACCTCTCTGGAGTTTTTTTCCTTCCTTTGCTGGTACTTTGCTTATGTGGAGTGCTCATTCAAAATTACAATGGCACTGAAAAAAGTGACTTATGACCATTTTTCACACTTACGACTGTTGCAGCATCCCCACAGTCATGAGAGGCCAAGCGAGAAGATGCGTGCCTCAATGTGAGTGATATTGAGTTGGCCACGCCCAACCAATAACATGACCACCAAACCATGTCCACCCAGTCATATGATCACCAAGCCACACCCACCAACTGTGGCACCCACAGAACCGGTTGTTAAAAAATTTGAATCCCACCCCTGCTTATGAGGTGGGTAAAATGAGGACCCAGAATGTCCGAGGCAACATACTTACTCTGTGAACTGCTTAGAGAGGGCTGTAAAAGCACTGTGAAGCAGTATAGAAGCAGTATAGAAGTCTTGCTAACTGATGCTATTGCTAACTGGTGCTGTTGCTAACTGGTGCTGTTGCTAACTGGTGCTATTGCTATGGAAAAAATGATTGTAAAATTGGGTGCAACTCATTCAATGAGCACCTACCTTAGCAACAGAAACTCCGGTCCCTACTGTGGTTATAAGTCATGGGTTACCTGTATATATTGTTGATGGATGATCACTCCATTGTATGATTAAACTCCTGCCTTTTAATATCTATTTAAGTAATCTTTCTTGCAACAGGAATTCCACAAATTTGTTGTGCTGTGAAAATATATGTTTCTCGTATTCCAATTCTATGCTCAAGTACTTAAATGCAGTACCTATTTCTAAATTCTATGCAAACAGGGGTGGGGTCTTCCTTTATTTATCCTCTCCGAAACTTCAATTGCCTGTCCTCTCCCCAGTAACCTCTTCTAACTGTTGGAATTTAAGTAAATGGTTCTATTGTTTAATTGACCATCTGCTCCTTGGATTTTGGCTTTTGTCCAGATTCCCTGGAAGCTGCTTTGATGCTAGGCACCTTGGCATAAAACTCTCTCACCAAATACGGTTTTAAATTAGGTTGATGTGGCAAGCAAATAGTTTTTTCTTCCCTTCAGTTATGCAATATGCATTTTAAAATGCATGCTTTGGAAAACCAAGGAAGAATGGTTTTGCTCTTTAAAAATAATTTATTTGGCTTTGCATGGGATTAAGAGGAGCTCTCTTACAGTCAGTGTCCAGAACTGAAAACTGTTGCATTGTAAATAATTTGAGGGATAAAGCAGAAAGCATAAACAACTACATGAGCCATGGTGGCGCAGTGATTAGAGTGCAGTATTGCAGGCTACCTCTGCTGACTGCCAGCTGCCTGCAATTTTGCAGTTCAGATCCCACCAGGCTCAAGGTTGACTCAGACTTCCATCCTTTGGAGGTGGATCAAATGGAGACCCAGATTGTTGGGGGCAATAGGCTGACTCTCTAAACTGCTTAGAGAGGGCTGTAAAGCACCGTAAAGTGGTATATAAGTCAAAGTGCTAGTGCTACACAGATGGAAATGTCTGCTCAGAAATTCAGCTCTAAGCCCAAATGTAATTTATTCTCTTTGGGTTTCAAGAGTTGAACCAAAATGCTGTGGTAAAAATGGATATTTCAATTTACTTTTCCCGTTGTATGAAGGAAATGGAGAAATATGTAGTTTTTTTCAGGCTTAAGTGCCTTGCAAAGAGCTATATTTGCTCATTTTCCAGGTAAACTGGAATGCATCCAGTTATTTTTATGCTCTAAAAAAGCAAACTTGGAGTCATGTAGAAAAGAATCATTCTTGGAAATATAGTTGACATCGGAAACTTGTTTGCCCACCCTCCTATCTTTTCAAAACCATCCTCTTATGAAGCCCATCGGGAGCCCAGGAAACGCTGAGAATCCCAAAGGTGCTTTTTCAAGAGGCAACTGGACTTTTTGGTTTTCTTTGAAAATGTTTCATTTCTCTTTACTTTATTTTATTGTCATCGCACCTCACGCAACAAAATTAAATACCATCTATTTGTATTTTGTGATTTTTCTCCAGTTCTTTCTCTTCCATTCCAGTGTTTCCAGGTACTGCCACATCCATTATCCAAAGGGTTTTTTTTGTCTTTATCATCAAATTTGGGGTATTATGTGACAGGTGAATGTCTGGTGGAATTCTAAAGTCCTAGAGTACAGGTAGTCCTCAACTTACAACAGTTCACTTAGTGACCTTTCAAAGTTACAGCCGCATTGGAAAAGGTGACTTATGACCATTTTTCACAGTTATGACATTTCCAGCATCCTCATGATCATGGGATCAAAATTCAGATGCTTGGCAACTGGTTCATATTTATGACCATTGCTGTATCCCAAGACCTTTTGCAACCTTCTGACAAATAAAGTCAATGGGGAAACCAGATTCATTTAACAACCAGGTTGCTAACTTATCAACTGCAGTGATTCTCTTAACAACTGAGGCAAGAAAGGTCATAAAATGGGGCAAAAATCACTTAACAGGTGTCTCACTTAACAACAGAATTGTTGGACTCAATTGTGGTCATAAGTCAAGGATTACATGCCTTTAGCTTCTCCGTTTTTCTATTACTTTCTCTACCAGTCCCCCCAGTTCTTACTTATTTCTTGGAGCTCTTCCAATGCATTATCATCACTATTTTGGTCATGCTATGATTTATGGTCAGTCTGTGCCATCTTCTAGCAGCAGCTACCTAGGTGATCCACAGCAGTGGTGGGATTCGAATTTTTTTACTAGCGGTTCTGTGGGCATGGTTTGGTGGGCATGGCGTGGCTTGGTGGGTGTGGCTTGGTGGGTGTGGCATGGTGAGCATGGCAGGGGAAAGATACTGCAAAATCCTCAATCCCTCCCCACCCCACTAACCTGCTTTCCAGCTCCGTTCTCCTGTGCAGGGCAACCAAAGAAGACCCAGCCAATCAGCTGGGACTCAATGGGAGGCAGAGAAGAGATGGGGGCAGGGCCAGTTAGAGGTGAGATTTGCCAGTTCTCCAAACTACTCAAAATTTCCCCTACTGGTTCTCCAGAACTGGTCAGAATCTGCTGAATACCACCTCTGATCCACAGTTATTATTACTATGTTCATTTCCAGAGGTTCAGACTTGATTTGGCAATTTTGTCTACCTGTCAAGTCCTTTCCAAGGATCTGGGATAGATGTTTGATGTTTGATGGTCTTGATGTTTGTAGCATTAGAGGTATTGTTGCAGGGATGTAAGCTCTTCCGAGTGTGGTTGCCTTTTGCAATTGACTGGTAGGGAAGTTGTCAACGCCAATGGTATTCAAATGATGCTTCAGATGTTTTGGAATTGTACCCAAGGCCCTTTAATATTGGTAGTACATAGTTATTACTATTAATATTAAATGTCTAGGGGGATGCTCAGTCATCCCAAAGGTGCTTTTTTCAAAAGGCAATGGGACTTTCTTTGTTTTATTTTGTATATTTTGAAGACGTTTTGCTTCTCAGCCAAGAAGCTTCTTCACTTCTGACTGAAGAACTGAAGAAGCTTCTTGGGTAAGAAGCAAAATGTGTTCAAGAAAAAGCAAAAACAAAGGAAGTCCAGTTGCCTTTAAAAAAAAAACTTTTGGGATATTAATATTAAAATTTTTATAAGTGTCTCCAAGATAGTAATTTCTGCAACTTCTTGAAGGGCTGCAAATATTTTTCCTAACTCTTGCCACCTCTGAAACTCTTAGAATATTTTATTTCCCGGTTGTAGAATAAATGCAAAACTAGTTAACACAGTATGAGATTCCAAGAAAACACAGCAGCTGGCCTTAGTTGACAGAACTTTCCCTGAGTTGAAGATATGTATCATTAGCAGTGGTGAGAAACAGTCAGAGCCAGTAGGTAATTTTCAGCTCTGGATTTAATGGTCCAATGGGCTCTGATCTTTAGAAGATGAGGCCCAGTACAGGATTGATTTCCACATGTACTTAATGATTCCTACCACAACCATTTGAAAGTTGCCTTCATTCTGTGGAACTAAAGCTCGG